TATCCCTGCAAAGTTTCAGCCTTCTATGTTGGCCTGGTTCGCGAAGTCGTTTCCCGCCAACAAATTTCTTTGGGGGTCTCGTGCGCGGGGTTTAGGCACGTAGGGGGGAAGATCTTAAAACGGGATGATGGCACACGGGGTAGGAACATACATCAGAAGTTTCAGTCTCACAGCTTTCCTGATTGCTGAGATAAAAGTGGGTGACAAAATGCACTCGCTTTCCGAACACACACACAGACAGCATCTCGACGACATGCGTTTTTGCTGGCTGTAGCAGCGCTATAGCGCTGTTGTAGCGCTGCACAGCAAAAACGCATAAAAAAGTACCTGCAACGCCGCACTCTAGTAACTGGTTCTCAAATGTACGAGTTGCTGCCGACTGCAGTTTAAATTGGAATCCGATAATGTAATGCTTCTGAATGTGCTCGGTTGATGTGCACGGTGAACCACCAGATTTGATTGTACCTTATTTTTCCGCCTTTTTTCTTCATATAGCGGATTGATGAGCTGTAGCTGCAGCGGTAATGGTACTAGTTGCTATCTTTGTTGTCCATTAGATTTCGAAAATCCCAGAAAGGGTGCCTGCACCTTAACGTAATGACAAAGGGGTCACAAGATCTCTGAATGTAGTTGCTACTTATGCCTCCTTTCCCGGACCTTTATCAACCAAATCTTGTGTACTTCTCTTCAGTGCTTTTTAATTTTTCTCTTTTCCTTATGTTAATATTTTCTTTTAGGCTTTTCCAAAATTGGATATCACAAATATAGTGGAGTATTCGCATGAAGTGGATATTCCTGGATGGTGCCGTGAAGAGGGATCGCCCTGTAAATGGACACATACAGTCAGGCCATATCAGTGCATTAGTAAATTTTGTTTCTTCCGTCCGTGTTTAAGCTGCACTGTCTACAACAGTCATTCATTGTAATTATGGCGGAATTTTGCGTATGTGTGAAAAATTTAAATTGATACGTCAGGGAACGTGGCTTTTTTTTTTTTGAATTTTTGCATCAATAATCTGTTTGTATAATCGTTTTTGCATCAGCGGTTTTTTGATGAATAAGTGAATAGGTGGGAAGTGTTTGGGAAGCAAACTGAAAATGTTGAG